ATGTTCTATCATCCTAAAGCACTTACAACGATATCAAATTACGATAAATGATATTACCTAATGATCTGATAACACAGAATTATTGTTCATAAAGTCGACTATTAGGAATTTGAGATTTTTTTAAAGCAAAAAAAAACCGTCGAAATAAATATCTGATTGTGGCTTTCAAATTGCAAATCCAAACATCAACATTGTTTATAAACTTTGAGAACTGATATATGTAACATGAGAATCTGAGGTCGAATTCTTTAAATTTTTGAGAAATTTTTGAGAAAAAAGAAACAAACTTGTCCAAGATTGATAAAACCATGCTTTGCCGCTAATTTGTCTGCTTCCATGATATCACCGCCTATGATTCGCACGGCAAATTGATTAGTATACGCTTTGCGTAATGCTTTTGATGAAGACTGACTATTTCCTGCTCCATAACTGTTACTCCTACTGCTACGATGACCACTATTACTGCTGTTAACGGATCTCAATTTCGTTACCGTATCAGAAAAATTTGACTCATTTGCTGCCACTAAGAAGAACTCGGATACTGATAAAAAGGCGAATGATAAAAGGATGAATAATAATGGGCAGGTACAGGATGATGTCACAGAAGAACGAAAGCGCTGATGGGATAATGAATGGTGGTAGCTTTTTAACAATTTTAAGGGATGAGCCTGATTCTTGATGCGATTTTTCTTTGAAACATCGCTTTTCTCGTTTATTGCAGGAAATTTAAAAAGATTTGCATTTGAACAACAAACCGATTCATCTTCTGCCGTATTACTGAGAACATGAATTGGTCTAAAAATGAAATTTCAAAATCAGAGTTAAATGCAGAATTACTTCTTTTTCTATAAAATGAAAGTGATGAAAATAGTTTATACTTCTTTGCTCTTTTTAAAAGCTAAAGCAAAGTTTGCACGAAATATTGGATACTAATCAAATTTCCAAACATTATGAGAGCAATGGTAATATAGCTATATGAAAATGGATACAGCTTACGTTTCATTATCGACTTCAACTGGACTAGTTTCACAAACACATTCCCGACCATCCCACAAAGAATGCTTCCAAGTTGAAAGCGCACATTTCCAAGCCAACACCATTTGTTTGTATCACCGAAAATTGTCGTTATTTCCGTAGAAGCAAATGAGGAATGATGAAGATGAGGTGTTAAATCGTTTGAATTTAATAGAATTCATCAACAACAAAGATTTAATTTTATGGGAAAGAATAGTGACCAAGACAGAAATGTCCGGTATTAGCTTCCATTATATATACATTTACACATTTGTTCTGAAATATTGATCATTTTTAAAAAAAAATTCCTTTTTTTACATCACTGACCGCTAATTGCAACGAAAATGAACGCATAATGAAAAAAACAAAGGAAAAGAAGACAAAATAATTACTGTTGTACAAAAAAATGAAATGAATTTCCTCAAACAAATAAAAAGTTAATAGTTGGCGCAGTTGGTGATTTCCAATAGAAAAGAGAATAGAATAGTTCGTAGATGGCTGACGTATATTATTAGGAAAAAGAAATAAAATGAATCCAAATAACAGCAAATGTTATAAAAAAGAAATGAAGTAGTAGAGCACTTTTCCTTTATCTTCTAATATTGACCTATTTAATCTATTTTATTCAATAAATCATAAATGCTACTCTTTACTAACTAAAAACTAACATAACCTAATAAGTTCTCAATAATTATTTAAAAGAATCATTGATTATATCATCTTTAAATAATCTATCTACAGAAGAGAGCAGAAAATGAAATCCGGTGAAAACAAAAAAGTCAAAAAGAACAGGTGCAAAAGCTCACTTTGCTTCAGCATCGGTTTGCATTGGCAAGAGATGAACAAATCCCATCCTACTTTTATATATTTGTTAAAGCATATATATGGCTTACTCCTTTCTTTCTCCTCTCTTCTTTTGCTTCTTCAGTTTTTCTAATGATAAATTCCTTTTTTTCATTTCCGATTAATTCTCGTAGCTCTTTACTCAGCTAGTCTTGAAATATGAAACTAATCTATTTCAATAAGCTTCTCAATAATGGTCATCTATCAATTTGCAGTGTACATCTCTCCGGTACTTTATAACTTTCATTGCAATGTATTTCTACACTGCTTCATATTTTGTGGAATTAATATACTTCATTATAAATAACAGCTGACCTGAACACATTTAGAAGACTTACTCAAAAGAAGAAAAGTGAGAATAAAAATTGGTGATGCGGCGTGGGAAATTTACATAAATATTACATAAATGTAGTACTGCACTTAGTGATAACGTACATTCAAAATAAAAATTTCTTTTTGTTTAAAATACGCATAAGAAGAAAGTGTTCAGGTCAACAATGTATGTGAAGAAGAGCTGAAGAAGAAATCCAAACATCGTCCCACTTCTGCTCTTAAACAACCCAACCGCAAGTATCTCTATCCATTAGCTCACTTTTTTCAAGTAACAAAAATCCAAACTCACGAAATCAATTCAAGGCTTTTTCTTGAAATTCCGGAAAAATTTCTACCGTCAGTAAAAAATGGATAAAAAATAAAGTTTCATTGGAAAGATTTCATTCTGAATATTGTACATTCAGGAAGAATTCTTTCCCATGAAATATTCAAAAGATTAGATTGTATAAAATAATTTTGTTAAACTTGTTCTCATTAATCTAACTGAACAATCTGATTCGAAACGTTAAAAAAAAAATATTTTCGCCGGTCATTTTATAAGGAAATGATTTAATATTTGAATAAGAGTGAGAACAAAATGGGAAATTACTATAACCTGTCAACTTCCTTCTGTCACCATCAGAATATTATCCTCCACAGAATTCATTTAACAAAGAACTGAGTTCACCTTTTCGCATCCTTTGTCTTTCATTTAAACTTTGAAGATTAGGCAGGAAATGTTCTTTGGGCGATTTCATGTTTCGTGCTTTATATTATGCCATCTTAGTAAACTATTATTATGCCATCTTAGTAAACTAGTAAACATTTTTATTATATTTTTTTATATTATGCCATCTTAGTAAACTAGTAAACATTTTTATTATATTTTTTTATATTATGCCATCTTAGTAAACTAGTAAACATTTTTCGCCTGCTGCCAATGAAGCCTCCCTCATAAAGCTTAAACCTGAGACTTTCAAGCATTTATTTTTAATTTATTGTTTACTTCTCATATTTCTGAATTATTCCCTTCAAATTCTTTCCAGAAATTTTTAAGTTTTGAAGTTTGCAGAAAAATTGTAAACATCTAATCAACTATGTTTATTCCTTTCTCCTACTTCAATTTTTTGAATTTAGCGAGCCATTACTTACATAGCAAGAATGTAAAGAAAAACATTTTGGGGTTTACTTAGGTGTCTGGGTTTACTTAATTTTACTATCTTCAAATATTTCTCATTAACTTTTTTTTTTTGTTCTATTATAATTTACAACAAAATTTCCAGCTGAATAAATTTCTCATGAACTTTTTTACTTTTAGCATTGCGAAATTTCCTATCCTCCTCTTTGAAATTTTCCTTTCTCTGTACATATCTATCTCTTGATTAGCAAGAATTCAAATTTCTGATTACTTTCTACCACTTTTCACTGGTATAAATGTTATGCTATAATAACAGTTCATAAAAATGTCAATCCGAAAACTTTTACGATTTTTCATTTCATTTATCGGTAATATGATTACTGTTTATCGTATGATATTTCTTGATTAAACTGCCTCGGATATATTACAAAATTAAGAAGAATTATGATAGCAATTTTAGAGAAATTGAATCAATAGTAACTGTAGTAACAATTGATCAGTAAAGATGAAATTATCCTCACAGGATCAGCTTTAGAGTCAGTCCTCAAAGTTGAAATTTCTACAGAAGTAAAATCAGAAAAGATCAAGCAATCATAATAAATAACTTGCGCAAATTAAAGAGTTATAATATCTTTTGTGTGGTTAAGATAGCGCACCTGTTGCGATTGTAGTTTTACCATAAGCACTTTTTTGGTAATTTAAATGAAAACAGCTGTCCTTCATTAGTTCATCGCTCCAAATTTCAATTTATGCGAGCAGAAATGCGTGTTTCCTCAATTCCTACCACTGTATTAGTACAACTCATAATTCAACACTTTTTACTACTTTCATTCAATACCAGCGAAACTTCTCAGTCATTACTAAATTTTCATTCTGATCAGATTAAATTCTGACAGATTAAATCGCCTAATTTTTTTGTAACAATTCTTCAATTTTCATTAACTTATTTAATCCATTTGAAGTTCAATACATCACTGCTACACCGAAGAAAAAAAATATACATACACAGGACAATGGTCACTTCCAATACTGAAAAAGGAGAGAGCGATCATGAGGAATAAAATTTACAATATTTTAATTTCTTCAAATTAATCATGTCTAACCATTCATTCTGCCATAATTCTATCCATTTCCAATATGAAATTCCATATGAAGAAGTCCTCTTCCGATGAAAAAATTTAGAACAGGAAAAATGAATGAAATGAGAAAGGAGTTGATCTATTTGAATATTAATGAATGACTAAATTATGTTATTAATGACTAATGCTCTAAACTCGATAAGTCTTTTTCGTACGGTAGAAAGAGGAAATACAAGTAAAAAACGATATGCTTGAATATCAATCAGTTTATGAATTACAACAGTAACAATTAAAAGCGTAAAGTATAAAAATGTTAGAAAAAAATTTTTTCATTAAAAATTCAAAATTTTAGCTTTTTTTAAACAAAAGATTTGTTAGTGTTTGCATGAGCTCATAATATACAAATACCGTAACTCCTCAATTATTCCATTTTCTCATTTCTTAGTTACTTAATGGTCTAATTTTCTTGACTTCTTTTCATTCCTTCATATTATGAACATCGATGAACTTTTCTCGTCTTTATTAAATCATTTCTTCGTTCAAATGATTTTAATTTCGTTCAGAGATCTCAATACTACTGCAATCATTATTTTAATCAACAATTTTGTGTCCTTCATTTCACTTACCGAAAACTTCTCGAAATGGAATAAATGCGTTCATATTTTCCTGTTATTTCTCATCAATGTATCTACTGAAAAACGAAAATTCCTAAATTTGCCAAAACTGAGTAAATGGTGAAAATACAATTACTGAGCGAAATAATCAAATAAAAAAATGGTTTGCAAAAAAAATGTTAGCATTACTATTCAATAAACAGTGAATGAGAGGAATCAAAGAAAAGAGAGAGGGATTGTGCCAGGCATTTTGTCCAGCTAATCAGTTTGGAAAGATGATGGCAGACGGATCATTAGTTGACAAGCTACTTATCAAACTCTTTCCTGTCTTTCTTTACAAATTTTATTTTTTTAAATTTTTTAACAAGTTTGACCTTATTCAAAGCAAAAAGTTGTAAAGAAACAGAAACGAAGAGCCTATTTTTAAATGACATCATCAATGAAATATAAACGAATGATTCCATAAACAAACAACGGAAATGAAATGATATTAAATTAAAAACTTAAAATTTTTTGTAAACTTAAATTTAAGAACATCAAATCAACGATCTTATTCCTGCTCAATGGCGAGTCTTAGAAAATTTTCGATTATATTAATAAAAATGAGGGAAAGTAAACTGAGCATAAGATATTTAATTTTCGTAATTAGAGGATCAATAAGATATATAAGCAAAGATAATTCGGGAAATATGTTGGAAAGAATGGTTGCATGGCTTCTAATAAACAAGAAATGAAAGAATTAATTATTGCAAAGAATTCAACTTCTTTACTTAATTGTTTAATTCTGTAAGCGATGTATGAATACCACACCAAAAAGTCAAATTTAATCTAAACATCTTTCTTTTCTTCCTCTGTGCAAATTCGTTGTTTGTGCTGCCCTTAAACTGTTCTTCAAATAGACTGCAGTAGTTGTAGAAAAAAAAAGCATAATAATCAACACAGCTAACATAGCATTAAACAAAAGTGAATGTAAGAATATTAAGTCTAATTATATTAGCTTAATTACACAGGCTTAAGCCATATGAAATTACCTGAAACTAATGTAGTAATTAATCTTAATCATCCAACTTTAAAACTACTTATGCCTCGAATTTAATAAA